TTGTGAACCATCACCACATCCACCCCAAAGAACTCTTCATTATTGCAAAACTGAAACTGTCCCCATCAAACAACAGCTCACCGGTTTCTCCTCTTTCCCCAGCCCTGGAAAACCACCACCTACTTTATGTAATCTGACGACTCTAAGGTACCCATACAAGGGGATTTCACACAGTATTTGTCTTTTTTGCTGACTAGCTTTATTTCACTTAGCAATACTGGTCCCCAAGGTTCAACCATGTACATCATGTGTCAGAATTTCCTTCCTTTAAAAGTTGCATACTAATGATTTTTGAAGGGGAAAAACAACCTCTACAAGCTATTTTAACGGTGATTTACTTTATTAACATGTCATTTTAACATGCTACGATACACAATAAATCAAACATATTTTACCGTAAGGAACGTTCAAGAGTACAATTAGGGCTATTTAAAAATGTAAATACTTGCTTCTGTTATTACATCAGACAAAAAAAAAAAAAATCAAAGAACAGTTTCGCTCCTGCTACGATTACAAAACCAAGTAGAAAAATTAAGGAGGGTGTCATTAAAGAAAAAAAACTCAGTACTTTTTGAAGGACGTATTCTCTTTACTACCATACATACTATACACGCTTACTCAGTAATTGTGAGAATGGTTCTTAAACTATTATTAGGAACTCAGTAAATATTTGTTGACCATAGTATATATACTATGGATAATGGATCTACTACTTCAATATTGTGCTTTTTTTAAGAGTTTGCTTCAAGAAAAGCAGCAATAGTAAACACACCGAAGTTCTCATTTTATTCAAATTCATAAGCCTACAGAACAGTGATTTGTTACGAAACTACCCATCATAGCTAATAATAAAATATAAACGCTTTTATCAAACTAGTAAGAAAAATTTCTATGATGTTTTGGAACTTAATTCTAACCTAGTAATTCACTGGGTTCAATCCACTTGTCGATATGCTCAAGAAAAGGGGACTGGGACTTGCTACTAGGTTTGAATTTATTTCCCCTTACCGATGGAATTCCATCTTTGGGGTCTCATTCCTCCTGACACTCCAATTACACACACGTTTAAAAACATGGCTAAAAACCAGTAGCTGCAGCAAGTATTCGCCCTTTTGTTGTTTGGCTCTGGAAACTATTCATGCTTCACCGCTCAGAAGAAGGAAACATCGGAGAAGGAAACAAAATTCACTGAGGAGCTCACACAGATGCAGATGAGTCACAGCCAGAGAGCAAAACAGAGCTTTGTTGGGTTAAAGTGAGCTACTGGGACACACGGTGATAAAACTCCAAAAGGCTGACCACTGTTACACACCAAGTCACGTCTCATAACCAACTGTCCTTAAATAGATCTTTTCAGGCAAGAGCATAATTTCGATCTTTTCAAGATCGAAATTATAGCTTAAATGTTATACCTAACAGTTAAAAGGCAGCAGTAACATCAAAGGGTGAAAGAAAGGTGGTAAAGTTTCAAATAAGCAAATTTGTGATGGTATTTGACCTAGATAAAAGATAAAGAAATTCCAGTTAGTTCCTGTAAGAAAGCTGATTTTAAGAACCACTTCTTCAAGTCATATGTAGCAGATAAATGATTTGGCAGTCATATTAGGAAGGCAAGCAGTATTACTGCATGGTCATTATTTTCTGCTTACAAGTTTAACATTTACAGAAAGGGGCCACTTTAACTTGAGTTCTCAAATTCTATTTTATTTGGGTAAGTAGTAGGAGATTTAACTTATATAACATTCACTTTTACCCAATAGGAAGTTTCTTTCGTCATCAAGGTTTCATGGATATTCTAAATACTATTCTTTATGATTAAATCTAAGAGAAATCCTGGCTAACTTAGAATAATGTATCTTACGTTAATTATCGTTTCAAGTAGGTTTAACTCATATTAAGTGAATATTTACTTTGATACACCTGAAGTTAAAAGAAGTCATCAATAACTCAAGCACCGAACAAAAGCCTCAAATAATCTTAACTATTCCTTCACAGTAGTATCCTGACTAGAAACTAACCACAGCACTTCAACAAGGCCCCAGGGTCAGCACCCTTAATTCAGCGGGCCTCTTTTCGTCATCTCGCCATTCACAAACTACCACAACTCCAGTATCCAAAGGTTGTTGATGTGTAACCTAGAAGAGTTGTCCCCAACTTCTACTTTTCAAAGTTCAAGAAAGTCCTCTAATCAAAAAAATTAAAACCAAGACAGCTAAACTCTCTCCCTTTTACAATGTTCCAGCCAACATGTAAGAAAAGGCACATTTAAAAATACACGTACGTCTGGGACACAAGGTTTTTAAAAATGGGCTCAAGAAAAGCCGTCATCTATTCATATATTCCTAAGCAGACGAACTGTGTTCAGATGTGGGGGAAAACAACCTGATGATTTTTACCGCAGAATCGACATTCACTCGTAGAGCACAAGACTGGACAACAGTGCCTCAGCGCCACTCAACACAAGACCCTAGCGCCCTGTGCTTCAGTTCTTAAGGGCTCCACATTTACTGGCTTTAGCAATGAATTCCTTTTAGCAGGGGGCCATCCATTTGCCAAATGCTGCAGTCTGTGTAACTTCTGTCAAATGATTTGATGCAAAACTTAAAGCAGAATTCTTCTAAATCCTGACACACACACAAAAATAAAACAAAAACAAGGCCTTTTAAAATTAACTTTGATTGCTTATTCTCTCCAAGACCCTCACCCCAAATCTGTAGCCTCCCCAAAAAGATATTTGAGGCCAAATACCTGAAAACTAGGGCAAAACAGGCGACCACAGTAAGGATCAGGAAAAACACATGTATTTCTCGTAAACACAGTAAACAGCAATGGTTCCTACTCGACTGTGATCCTTCAAAAACATAGACACACACACACACACACACACACACACCACAAGATCACGAATGAACAAGTTTCCCTGCATGGTCAATTACCATAGTCCAGTTACACTCAAAGACATTGTTGTAAAAGGCAGAATGCCACTTTAGTCATATAATGGGTTTTGTCATCATTTGAGAAATCAGAAGAAAAGAATTAAGGAAGTGGATTTAAGTTTAAGAAAGAGAAGACTTTAAAAATAGGAAAAGTGATGAGAATGTGGGTCAAACTTAAAGTGACTAGATTAAAAAGAAAATACCCCCAAACCTTAAATTCATTCTTCATGCTCTCCTAATAAAAAAATGACTTGTTTTAAAGCCACTGGTATAATAATAAACTTCCACACCACATTAATTTTCTCACATAGTCAACCCCAGAAAGTATATTTACACATATTGGATTTTCAGTCAGATAAATGGGAAGTCGCCAAATACAACATTCAGAAGAAAGTAATATATACAAGGAGTCAAAAGGGAACAATTTAAAAATTCAATTTCTGCCCTATGCTAATACATCCCCTTTCATCGCTGGCAAAAACTCCAATATTGTCAGTTCTTCAAATGTTAGAACCATATCTAAATTATATTATAAATCAATTAGACTAGAATATATACAAAGGCTAAGTAATGACACACTAAAAAGGCTCTTATCATAAGTAAGCTTGACTTTTATAACTTGGCAGCTGATTAAATTCTTACACTGAAGGGTAATACTCAAGGTTGCTATCAAACCAAGAACTCAGCAACATTTAAAACTGCAACATTAAAATTCACATTTCCTGCCACCAGAGGTGGGAATTTTAGACAGAGTGGGGAAGGGCCACACAAATATACAGAAAGTTCCCCTTGTTGCCGCTTTCTCAGAGCAAATATATGATTTCCTTTTCTAAGGTCCTTCTCCCCTGGAGGAAAGAGCTAGAGTAAAACTCAGGAAACCCACACAGTCATGTAACCGTTAAAGATAAAACCACCCTACTGTGATACCAGCTAGTTGCTCGCCGAGTTTGTTTCTAGATAATTCAAAATGCATTAAAATGTTAGCACAATCTCTGGATCCATGTCGTGTTAATCAGAGATCTCGTGGGCATAATGTACATCTGAATGCTCTGTTATCATAAATAAAATGTGAACTATATAAAGCATTCCCTCTCAGATTATATTCAAGAAAAGCAACTCTCCTGGGTATTATAACCAATGATTAATAAATAGTCTTAGGGAATTATATTCCACAGGCACATTAAAATCACATTTTTTTTTCTTTGCCCAGAGAACATGACACTATTAAAGTCACAATTTTAATTCTTACTTAGTTATCAAAAATGGGAACTATCTTACACTTAACTTAGATAGCTGACACTGATCTTAAGCCAAAGGACTGAGAAGCAATATTACACATAACTTAGGAAGTAGCAGTCATAGTTCTTAACCTATAATGTATAAGGATACTGAAATTTTAATTATATAATTCAAATCACAAGAAAAGAATATCCTAAATTCTAGATCGTAAAACCTTATCACTTTGGAGTCTAGTGATTGGAATCAAGACTTTTAGGGTGTATGAAAAAGTGAGTTTAAAGTGAGTTTAGTCAGCTAACTGCGCAGAAATACCTTGATTTGTTCACGATGTAGGTCCAAATTAAAAAAAATGGAAAAAAATTACCTTGAGTAT